ACTGTTAAAGACCACCCGCCTCTTGCTGCCAGGGCTGCTTACAGCAGGACACGGGTACCCAACCCCAACCCCAACCCCTGCTGGGGTGTGCGCTGCCGGATCTCCCCTCTCTTTAACGTTGTGCTTTGCACCGTTTCAGCGCTCTCAGAAGCTTGTCGCATCTTCCCTCTGTTGTCATTGGGCTCCAGTTGTTTCTTTTCACCAATCAAGGTAATTCTTTAACTATTTCACTCTGTTGCTGGGGATTGTGGTCATTCCTACCACCAATACCTGCACTTTTTCTGACCCACAACCTCCCTGAAATGCAGTCCTTAAAACGGGAAAACTACAGGAATAGACACCCTTTTTTTTTAAAAAAAAATAAAAAAAAATGTTTTAATGAGATTTCTAGAACTGAAGTCAGTAATTGAAAATAAGGTATTTGAAAAAAAGCTTGCAGAGTTACTGTTTCACCCAAAGAGACGTTGGGGCCATCCAGAATGGTTTTTGAAACAGTCCTGCAGGGATGACCGCTACTGGGACAGGGGGATGCAGAGTCAGTCTTCTCTGTCAAACCTGCACCCATCTGGCTTTTAGGAGAGCATTTGATCATCGTGTTATAGGCAATGTTTTGGCAGCAGAGATGGCTCTTCACTAAGGAAGCTGATAATATTATGCACAGTTTTCAAGCTTGCATAGGATCAAAACCTGTACGCATATATGCTAAATACTATTCATACTTTTACACACATTTTTGTGAAGAGTTTGCACTACACTTCTCCTTCCCTTTTTCCTTATATTAGTGATGCATTTTAACATGTTCTCATAGCAGTGGTTTCTCCCAAAGGAAGCATACAGAATCACAGAATCCCAGAATTTTCAGAGTTGGAAGGCACCTCTAGAGCTCACCCAGCCCCACTCCCCTGCTAAAGCAGGACTGCCCAGAGCACATCGCTCAGGACTGCATCCAGGTGGGGCTTGAAAATCTCCAGAGAAGGGGACTCCACAACCTTCCCAGTTTTGCAAGAGGTGTAGCGTGCCCGGTGAATACCTAAAAGTAATGTCAGTAAGCCTGGTGGGATTTCAAAGATTAGTTCTTTCATGGCAATAACACCCAGAAAACATAAATAATTAGAGGAGAGGAGAGGAGAGGAGAGGAGAGGAGAGGAATGGTGAGCCTTGCACAACCCCACCGGTTATATAGACCCTTGAAATACATACAGATGAAGTCTACACCTTCCACAGAACAAGCAGCTCTGGAACACCAGTCACCAACTCACCAGATATCCCTGCGAGCTCGGTAGGACCGCAGCCCCCACGGCAGACACCGCAGCCTTTTAAACCGAAAGATGCATTTTTTTCTCGGTTACTGTGCGCGGCCGTCCCATGGCACAGGCAGGAGTGTGCACCGGGGCAGACTGACACCACAGCCACACCTCATGCAGGGAGAACTCTCCCGCACCCCGATCTCCGCTGTGTCTGTGGGCTCTAATGGAAATATCGGGTGAGCAGCATCCCAAGCTTCTCTCCCTTCCACACTTCAGCTCTTTTCCTTGCTGACTAATAGCCCAGTCATGTTTCCCCACCTCCACCCCTAGCTGGTGCTGTCCAGTAGCCATCACAGCGGGCAGATGCCTGAAGACCGTTCCTTTGGGGGTGTTTTTTAACCCTGATGATGCCTGTCCTCTCTTGTATGACCAGCTGTGAGTAAAGCCTTCCCAAGGCTCTCTACCAAGAGCAAAGTGCCGACCTCCCATCTGGAAACACAACCAGCAGTTTGAATGCGTGTGGGCACCACTTGCCGGGGAGAATGGGCCTTTCACCACCGAATTGTAATACTTGTTTTCTTGTCTTACGGCATGGCAGCAGTTACACGTGGATTCAAACGGAGGGTTAGAGCTCCCGTTGACTCCTCACCGAGAGCTGATGCTACCAACTATAACATTTTGCTTCTTGAGTTTTAGTAGCATCCCTCTCGTTGTTCATTTAGTTTTCACCAGATATTGTCAAGTGTCCAGCCAGGGTCCGTGTGCCTTTATTATGTATGAAAGTTAAGCAAACAATACAATAAGAATAAATTCAGTATTGAACCCAGCCAAGAGAAAACCAGCAAATACAGGTGGTATGTCCATCACCTCACACTCCCACCCTGCTCCCTTCCTTCTCCCTCCCCACCCCAAAAAAGGAGTTTTAGAATTTATGTCCCAATACACCTACACCATTTCCAATTAATAAGATCAGAAAAATTAATGGTTTGTCCCGTGACATTTTCTACACTCAAAGTTTTCAGGCTGGCCACCACGCTGACTGCAACGACAGCAGCGTTGTCTGAAAGGTGAGGGAATCTCTTGAAGAGAAAAATCCCAAGCCAGGTGGAGGTGGACATCCAACGGTGGCTTCTGGAGATGGTCCCAGCATCAAGCAGGGGATGCAGAAGGGGGGCTGTGACCCCAAAGAGACGGGGAACAATGGGTGTCACAAAACCTCCAGGTAGCCCAGCTGGGCTTTTAGCTTTTGCTGGCTTTCCTTTTAGGACATTTTAAGGGTGATAAAAACAGAAGCTGACTTTACTTCTTCAGGAAAAGAAATGCTTGTACCCAAAATTGGACAAATTGCAGGAACTACTGCTTCAGTGTTCTTATCACTGTGGGTAGGATTACTTAGTTACCTTCACTCACCCCAAACCAGGCCCCTTCTAAATCTGTTAATTTGATGTATGCAGACTTCAAAGGCACACTTAGGTAGTGCCGAACCTTTGCTGTACTTTCAGGATGGGAAAACAGGTACTTAAACCAGATGACACCTATTCTGGGGGCTAAGGCTCACCAGCTAAAACTGCCTAGCAGAGAAAATAATCCGGGAAGAGCATCTGGTCTCAGAAATCTTCTGTTTTTCCATAAGTAAGAGAACAAAAAGTGATACTGAAAGTTGACAGTGAGGAGAAGTTATGCTGCCCGGGACTTTTTGAGGTGTGGGAAGCGCACAGCCGGTGCCTGGCATGCAGCTGGTGTGGAAAGAGCTGCCTGAGCCCAGCTGCCTCAATTTTACTTTCCGAGGACTCAAAACGCATATTTTTCTGTGCACAACGGAGCAACTTTCCTTCTACAATGCTGATACTGCAGAAAACTGAATTTGGGCAGCCCTGTCTGGGGTAGGGGCAGAGCTCTTGCGCCTGCCTGTCACATGCAGTGTCCCTTAACTGATAAAAAGATAGCGTGGGCTCTGGTGTTGGTTTTCCCCTTCTGAATTCATGAAAATAAGAAATTGAATTTCATTGTTTTCCTGTATTAAGCCTTGTCATTTTAAAACCGGCTAAAATGTGAGCAAGTTGCTTATATTTAGCAAGTGGCCCAAGATGCTTGTGGGGATTCCTCACCTCTGTAGACTAGTGCTGGGGTCCCCAGTATCAGAGAGGTGTGGACATACTGGAGTGAGGCCAGCAAAGGGCTACGCGGATGATGAAGGGACTGGAGCATCTATTGTACGAGGGGAGGCTGAGAGAGTTGGGGCTGCTCCGCCTGGAGAAGAGGATGCTCGGGATGTTCTTACCTGATGGAGGAATGAAGATGGTGGAGCCAGGCTCTTCCCAGCGGTGCCCAGTGCCAGGACCAGGGGCAACAGCACAAAGTGAAATGCAGGATGCTCCCTGTAAACGTAAGGAAAACATTTTGTTTGTTTTGGTTGCGGAGGCTCCACCCTTGGGGACATTCAAGCCCTGATAGGACACATCGCTGAGCAACCACCTTGAGGTGACCCTGCCCTGAGCAGGGGCTCGGGCTGGGTGATGTCCAGAGGTCTCTGTTGTCCTATGCAAATTAAACATGTGGAAAATGCTAGGGACACCCAGGCAATAAACCATTTTGGTTGAAAAGTGGAGCAGGGCTGAGCGGTTTAACAAAAAGCTGAACTAAATATTAGACTGAGTCTGACCAGCAATGATGTGATACGTTGTGTACGGTCATTTACTGTAATAAAGCAGCTTTGTGTTTGTGAGTGGATGGTATCAGACAAGCTCTGCCCAGAGAAGGGATGCTGTGGCACTGGAGAAGACCATGGTCCCACCGAGCTTCTCACCTGTGGGTGCAATGCCATCCCACAGCTTGACATCCAGAGTTTGGGCATGATTTAGCCCTATGGGGCTGGATACCTGACTGTATCTTGTATGACTTTAAATCTAAGAAGGATTTCAGTCTTAAGATTTTTACCTCTGCCAAGTCTGCAAAATTGGACTTAATCACAGAATTTTCAGAGTTGGAAGGGACCTCTAGAGATCATCTTGTCCAGCTCCCAAATTGTGTCATACAATATGTGGGCTGAATACCTTTGATTCTGTTAATACGTTCCCCAAACACGTTTTCAACATAGGTGTGCTAAAGTAATGTTCTTGGACTTTTTTTCAATTCTGGCACGGATTCTTTGAACACTTTTGGTTCTCAGTTCGTGCCTGGGAGTAAAAGACAGATCATTTGGGAACCGCAGCAAGGCTGACCCGCCATTTAGGCACTTTTGGAACTTGTAAGTAAAGAATCCCACCCATTCTGGAAGGTTTGCAGGGAGAAATATGTGCCCACAAAACACTGTGTTTTTTCACTTCTGAGATGGGAAGCCTGTATGGAGAAAGGATGGATGTCCATTAGCTTCCCTGCAGGTTTCCTGATGTCCAAACCTGCGTACAGGGAGAGAGGTCGCGGCGGGAGCTCAGCCCCAGCCGGCGCGTGAGCAGCGCCCGCAAACCTTGCACCGCGGCCAGGCACTGAAATAACACCTGAGAGCAAAGCACCTTCCTGCTTGTATGCAGTTACTTTGTTTGGCAATTTGGATATTTATAAAAGCAGACAGAAAGTAAATGTATTGCTGCTTTAAAGCATACGGTCTGGTGACGGGGTTACATCCTCCCAGGGAGGAGTTTCCAGGGAGGAGGCGCTGTGCGACTCATAAATACCTCTGAGACTGCTGCTGTCCCATCTGCCTGTGAACTCACTGGCGAAGGGCATCGCTCCTGCTCGTCTTGAAAGAGCAACATGGCTGATATGTTTGTGAAGAGCAGAATCAGGGGTGACAAAGTGACCCTGTTCATAAAGGCAGGCTGCCCTTACTGCAGGAACGCCATGGAGATGCTCAAGAAATACAACTTCAGGCCCGGACATCTGCAAGTGTTTGATATCAACGGGTTGGAGTACATCCATGATTACTTCCAGCAAACAACAGGGCAAAGAACCGTAAGTTCTCACTTTTGTATTTCAGAACTTGCTGATCCCTTGTCCCGGCTGCCCCACGACCTGCCCGGCTCTTGCAGAGGCTGATGCGGGGTCTCTCTCCCCACTACTTTCTGTGACTGTCCACAGGGAGAAGCTGCCCCCCTTTCCCATTGATAAAAATGCTCTGATTGCTCCGATTACTCTGCTCCACCGCAGGGACCCGTGGCGCAGTGCCAGGGCGCGTGGCCGTCTCCCCAGCGCAGGGACCAGTGGGGCAAGGAGCTCCAGGGGTCTGCAGCACCTCCCGGGACGCGCGGTGCCCCCTCCAAACCCCCTCGGGGTTTAACACGCAGACGCGTGGGAAAAGCCCAATGTTAAGGCTTGGTTCGTGACTCCGCCGGCTAAAGAAGGGCTGGTGGGGAGGAGTACCTTCGTGTTTTTAGGGCAGCGAGCCAAAGACCCTTCAGAGAACTTCCTACGGCGCTGCGCGAGGCAGCACAGGTTTGCA